TCACTGTGTGAGTCAGTGTGTGACTCATCATGAAAAAATGTGTTCCTGACACCTAACTTCCACAGAAGCAGTTTTGGGTACTTTCCACCTGTTTAATTATCTGTCTGTCTGCAACGTGCAGTCACGAAACTTTACTGATGTGGAGTTCAGATCCAAATGAAGGCCACTTTAGTGATTCAGCATATTTTTAACAACTTAATTGGCTCCCAGTTGAAAAAAACAAGTTGACACTTGTAATTGTTAGTAATGATAACCATTGTGTGTGTAATGCATTAAATAAGCGTTAATTGTTTTTTTGAAAAACAACTATTCACAAGAAATTGTAAGATAATTAATTTATGGTCTCAGAGGTACTTTATTCCCATTGTTAAATTATCTTAACAAAAAATTCATACATCATTTTTTGCTCACTATTGAACAGATAGAGCCTGTCAAACATTTAGGGCCAATTACAGCATTTGCAGCCATCGTCAAAGAGCAAATTAGCTGTGCAGTTAAGGATCCAGGTGATGCCATTGGCACAACTGTAAAAGGAACCCGGGGCTTCAGGTTTGGCATAAATCCCACCAGTCTTTGTAGCACAGAAATTGTCTGGGGTGTTGGATGAAGTAGTGATTGTTGGTCTGGGACGAGGTGTGGGGTGAGGTGGAAGTTTGTTTATAGACGGAGTCACTTGATCTGGGGTGGTTTCTTTTGTGGGAAGGGGAGGAAGATCTGTAGAAATAATAGTACATTTTCTGTAGTCTGTACAGTCAAGGTTTACAAGTGTCAAAAAAATAATTACTGGGTGGATCATGAAGAAACAAATACGGCAGCAAATATTGCTACTCACCCTGGGCTATAAGAGAGCGGAGGTAGCTGATGAGGGGGTAGTATCCCTGTCCACAGAACTGTCCATTAAAGTCATCCAGATCCAGAGACCAGACAAAAGCTCCTCCAAATCTGTTGTCCTTTAGGTAACGGGCCTGGATGAATAGCGACACAAACACTTCAACAACAATGTACTCACTTTGACTTTGTATTTAACATTTGGTATGACAAAAGAAATCAGCAACGTTTTGTAGAAGCACAACCTTAGTCTGAAAGCTGTCTTTGTTGTCGTAGCCAACCCACTCATTTTGTTTGACCGCATATGGAACTTTCTGATCCTCAATCAGCTGGACACTGGCCCCTTGAAGAAAAGTGCAAATCTGAAAAGGAATGGTAGAGGGTTCAATTTCAAATTTTAAACTAATATATGAAAATGTCTGTATTCAATATTCAGAGTACTAATATAGCAGCGAACAACTACTCGCTATGTAAAGATATAGTGGAGTAATGTCTACCTGAGCAGAGAATGAAGTTGCTCTCCTTGTCTGTGTGTGTTATAATTTGGGCTTCACTGTGCTTTTGTTTACATAGCTGGGCCGGTGCACGTGACTTATAACATGTTCATGCATGTGCGCGTGCTCATCGCCGCCACACTGCACTGCTCTCATACAGCGTTTACAGCTGATAAAGCCGTCTCGACCGGCAGCATGAATCAGGTAATGTAGCGCCCACCCCATAAACTGTAAGTGGACGTAGTCACCATGACTTATAAATCATTGATTTTGGCATTTTGGCCCTCTCACCATCTTCGTTTTTGTCCGCACCCATTTTAGTTTTTTGCAACCAGAAGTGACAAAAGAGGGTGGAGCTAAGTACAACGGAATGTTGAATAAGACCTTTTTAGATTACCAAAAATGTTACAATTAACTTTACAAAAGTGAAAACACATTGTGAAAGGGTTAAAGTTCTATGACGAAAACACGGACAACTCCCAGACCAGACAACCTGTCAATCACAAGGTAGCCACAACCGAATGTATTTCTAAAATGTTACTTTAAATGGGACCATAATTTACTAAATGAACATCATGCTGTATTGAAGAAGACTTGATACTTTCGGTTGAGACCATAAATTAATGTTTCCAATATTTACTGAGATAAATCAAATAAGAAGTAAGGTCATTATCAAAGTTACATTCAGACTTCTTTTTGCAACCAGAGGACTCACCCCCTTTAGAAATAATGCAGGTTTAAGGCATTGACTTCACTTTTCATATGCGGAGGTTGACGCCTGGCACTATCCCCCCTCAGGTAAACACTGTTCGCTCTGTCAACACTGTTGATGTTTGTCAGTACTGTTAGCAGTGTGAGCTGCGAGATGCATGCTCAGCCATTGCTGTGTTGAGAGCCGTGGTGAGGCAATAGATATGCTCTGAATTTTGCGTTAAGCATCTTTGAAATTCTGTGTGACAACTTCATAATAAAATAACATTATATGTATGTGTTATTATATATTATTAGTAAAATACAGTTACAAATTTAACATCGACAGAGTTAAAGTCAGTGAGTTGTTGCCAGTTTCACCTCATAATAGGACCAGAAGCCGGCTTCCCTTGTAAAAACACCAGCAGCAGCAGGACCACTGGTTGGTGCTCCAACCTGACTGGATTGAGTAGACAGTCGAAATGCCCTCCCATATGTCGCAAAGCCCATATTTAGCTTTTCTACAGGTGTCCCCTTGTCCCGCCAATATCTCATGGTAAAGTCCTGAAATGTGAACACAAAGAGACAAACAAAATCCAAGTATACAATGAAATGTATTGAACATTTAAATAAATGTACAGAAATCTGCTAGAGAAAATGCAAATTGATGCATTTTCTATCTTCTACTTTTATACGAATGTTGAGTTTTCCGATATTTCAACTTTATTGGAGGGTTTGGCATTTCCTATATATTTTTTTTAATTCGCAGATTTAGATAATGCAAAGAAATGTATGGATGTTGACATTAGAGGAGTGTATGCCATTACATTCATAATAATGCAAAAAATGAATCCCGTACTCACAGTATTTAAGAAAACATGGTCCCCGGTGTCATGGGATCCGTTGTACAAAGGGCTGTGATGTCCTGTCACACTCTCCCAGGTGCCATGAAAGTCATAAGTCATCACATTGATAAAGTCCAGGTACCTGATGAAATGGATGTGAGATCAAGATCACCAAAACACGATGACATCTAATAATGGGGATACTGTGGGGAGTAACATTTTGGTGTACTTTGCCATCTCTGCGATTTCATAACCAGCATCAATGGTTCCTTTCCCAGCCGCCACAGCAGCAGAGACCATCAATCTGGGCCGACCAGTTGCTGTTCCCTCAGCCTGATAGGCCTCTACTAGTTCCTGTACACCATAGAAACATGGTAAAGTCAATTTGTGGTTCATGTTTAACGTAATTTGAACACCAGAACAGTTATTTGTGATCTGACCTTGCATAACAACGTGAATCTCTGCTTGTCCTCCAGAGGACTTCCTCTTGCAGCGGGGTATTCCCAGTCCAAATCAAGTCCATCAAAACCATATTTTCTCAGTAGTTTGACAGAAGACTGGATAAATGTATTTCGATTGGCTTGTGTTGCCACCATTGTTGTGAATCTGTGTAGAATTTGGGGGGAAAGATTGCTTTCAAGAAGACATAATCACAAAACATTGATCTTAATTGATTGTTTTGTGCTAAATATCTTACTTTTGTGTTCCAAAGTTCCAGCCTCCGACCGCCAACAGTGTTTTAAGATTTGGATTCCTATGAGAATATATAAATTTAGTTGCCCCAATCACTATTTTACACAACAATTTTAGTAAGATAATGCAAAAAAATGATTTTGGACTGACCTCTGTTTGAGTCCATTGAAGGATTTATAGAGTTCATCATCATTCCATTCTATGGTGACTAACTCATTTGCCTCATTAATACCAGAAAAGGCATAGATCAGGTGGGTACACAGGTTTGGATCAATGTTTAGAGGCATAAACTTCCCATTACCAGGTCGGTATTGGGACCAGTTTGTGAAATAACACACCAGTCTGGAGGACGACACTATTCAAGGAGTAGCAGAAATATTATTTATTAATCTTTGAGGATAAATGAATGACTTTGTTCAGTTGCTACTAAGGTTGTTCAATAATAATTATTGATTTAACTCATGAACTCACCCAAACTGCCAAAGGAAAGACAAAGACCTTCAAAGTTACAGATGTAGTTAGTAAATATTAGGTAAAACAGGTTTTGTAAAAACAATAACATTTTCATTGTGCCTTACCTGCAATTAGAATTAACTTGCACATGTTGTTTGTGGCTGGCTGAGCTCTTGTCATGTCAAGAAAAGATCACTGAATAGTTTTTTGTTGATGAAAAATACACAAACTATGATAATGATTAACTCGGAACAAAATGACACACTATACATCCGGAAGTTTTGGACTTCAAGCTGTTGCGTTATCAGCTGTTGTGTCATCCAACAAAGCCAAATAACAGAAACTGGTCAAAGTCATTTCACACACAGATAAAATAAACAATTTGTGAGTAAATCATTGTAACTTAATTATTAACCCGAATTATTCTGTCGCAGATGATTTCTCAATGTTTGGACTCTGACATTTGTATTAATCTACAACTCACACTTTGTTTGGCATCAATTCACCCATTTCTTTAAAAGCTTTCAATGTATAGTATTTCAGCATTTTAAAAGCATGTTTCGCCTGCAGATGTTTTGTGGCTTTGATATCAGATGACTTCACAGCACTTGTTTAGACAGACCAGGAAAAGATTCTATGTGTGTTCAGGGTCAGTGTCCTGCTAGAAAGTGAATGTTGTTTTTATAAACTGCAAGCCAGGCAGATGTATGAAGCCAGAAGTGTGTCTCAATGTATAGTACAGTAGAAAATAGACTAATATAGTAACACAATCTTGTCCATAAATAGTTTTCCATACGACTTGGAGATCATTCATTTCAAATGGAATCCCTAATGTGGAGTGCATAAGCAACAAGTTGATGTTGTTGTGTTCTGCAGTCTTTTTGTGAAGTTTCATGTCAGAATCATGTAATTCTGTTTTATTTATTTAAAAAGTCTATACAATTAAATCAAATGGAACATTTTTTAAATAAAAGACAAAAAAGATGAAAGAGTTTTGTTTCATGAAGGAAGACATTTATTTAAGCCCAGTCGCAGCAGTTGCATCTTTTACTGAAAACAAGATTAACTGGACATAGCTGGATGTAAGTGTGTCTGTGAACACACTGATAAAAGGAGTTGCGGTTCATGTCATTTGTGTAGAGGCCGTCAGACTTGTCAGTACAGAAACCACTTCCAGAGACACCTGTGGTTGTTGGTTCGGCAGTGGTAGTTGTTTTGTCAGTGGTAGTTGTTCGGGGAACGGTGGTTGTTGGAGCAGAAGTGGTTGGAGCAGAAGTGGTTGTGCTGTTGGCTGGGTGATTTGTAGTAATCTCTGGTACATGTGTGGTTACAGGCGGTGGAGGTGGAAAATCTAGTAAGACAAAAATGAATTTAAATTCAATAGAAGATGATGAAACATTTACGTTTTGTGCAGTGTTGTAGTCTGATTTACCTGAATCCAGAAGAGAGCGCAGATAACTAATGAGTGGATATTTTCCCTGGCCACAGAACTGTCCAGAAAAATCATCCAGATCTAGAGACCAGATGAAGGCTCCTCCAAATTTGTTATCCTTGAAATACTGTGCCTATGGAAGATACGTTAGAGAAAGTGCTTCAGTTGAAAATGCAAGTGTTGTTGTTTTAATAATAATCCAATGACATAACGGATCTAATACATGTATAATAAATCTTTTATTTCCCATAAAAGCTTGTTTTGTTGAGTATCTGATAGGGTTATCCAGCTCTGCTCTCAGTGCTTCAGTCTGACAGTAGATTGACTCTCTATCATGCAGATTGCACTCAGCCAACTGAGTGGTGAATGTGTTTGTGACTGCTGTTAAGTATATATTTGCTCATCTTTGTGTTGTGTACATGAAAAATTTTGACAATGCAAAAGAAAACAACTGTAATGACCCAGCGAAAATATTCCAGACAAGTTGTGTTTGCTAAAGCATAACGTTTCTGGTCAATCCAAGGTATTGAAAAGTGTTTGTTCTGTCTGTGCAGCTTCATAGTGATCAGCTGAACCTAGTGCACGTACTCATTTAGAACGCAAAGATACCGATAGCTGGCAAGTAGTGATAGCGATATGCTACTTTTACTTTGTTCTTATTATCTCCATACGCATAGATGTGGAGAACGCTATGTTACTAATTACCTTGATCTCATAGCTTTGCCTGTTGTCAAAACCAACCCACTCATTTCCTTTTGTGGCATAGGGCACACTTTGTTCATCAATCCAGTGGAGACTGGCTCCTTGGAGGAAAGTGCAAATCTGTAAAAATGGAAGAAAATAATCTTTAAACACCCTCAACATTTCTGATGTCTTAGTTTGAAACAATTTATGTTGACCTTGTATTAATTGAATTTGCGCTAAGTTCATATTAATTATGTATTAAATTGTGTTTTATTGTTGCTCTTGTGTTGAACCTTCACTGACCTCATAGTAGGACCAAAACCCAGCTTCACGGGTGTAGGGCCCAGCAGAGGCTGGTCCGCTGGTTGATGCTCCAACACCGTTAGCTGCTGATGATGTGCGGAATGTGCGTCCATACGTAGCAATTCCAATTATGAGCTTTTCAAGAGGAGCACCTTGGTCTCTCCAATATTTCATAGCAAAGTCCTGTGAAAAGAAAATGCAAAAAAAAAAAATCAAGCATGTCTTAAAGGAACAATTTGTAGGGTTTGTTAACACAACATTGAAAGTTGGCCCCTCCTCCCCGGCTCAACTTGGGTTAAGGAGAAAGCCAACTACAGAATCACTCGTTTTGGAACGAGCATTGTCCGCTTGGCTTTTTACCATTTTCGACATTTTCATAGCTTACTTTTGAATGCATGCTTATCATCTGGCACCTGGTCGCTATGATTTTATAGAGGTGGTTTCCAGAAAGAGCCCGAAACACAGCAAAATGAAAGTAAAAGAGAAAATATAGGCAGAGGGCAGGATCCCTACAGACCACTCCACACACTTCTAGTGGGTTATAAGGAATTAAAGGATTATTTATGCTATGCATTTCTTTTTAGGAAAGTCCTACTCATTGTGTCTTAAAAAACAATACCTGTTAGGTATTCAGCTTGTTGGGTACTGAGGATGATAACAGAATTTTGTTGAGAATTTCACTCACCACATTGTAGTAGATGTTGTCGCCTTGATCGTAAGAGCTGCGGTGCAGAGGGCTGTTGTGACCAGTGAACGGGTCCCATGCTCCGTGGAAGTCATAGGTCATGACATTTATAAAGTCTAGGAACCTGTTAGACAAGCATGATGTCACAAAATAGAGAGAAACTCATTTATTTTAATCGACTTTGAAACTAAATGACTACGTCACAGGAACTCACTTGGAGACCTCGGCAATCTCATAACCATTGTCGATGTTTCCTTTCCCTGCAGCCACTGCAGCTGTAAGCAGCAATCGTGGTTTTCTGGTCTCAGCGGCTTCTTTTTCAAAGGCAGCTAGTATTTCCTAAATGTAAGAGGAAATAGTTGAGGCTAATCATGTGTACGGTGTGAGAATATTTATAATCACATTGCTGTATTATCTCAAACAAGGATGCTGTGTTGGTGCGGCATCAGGTGGGATTATGCCAATGGTGATCAGGACTAAGGGAGGTGTCGATTTTACAAACTGACCTGGCAGAGCCCTGTGAATCTCTTCTTGTCTTCCAGTGGGCTTCCTCGTGCTCCAGGATACTCCCAGTCCAGGTCCAGCCCGTCAAAGCCATGCAGCCTCAAGAATCTGATTGAAGACTGGATGAATCTCTCGCGGTTGGCAGCCGATGTTACCATGATGGTAAATCTGTAATCATGTGAAAAAAGTTATAGCTACACTGTTGATGTTGTTCTCATTCTTATATGACATACTATAATTAACAGCCTCAGGATGCCTTGCTGTTAAAACCTTGTTGACTCACTGTGTTGTTCCAAAGTTCCACCCCCCAACAGCCAGCAGAGTCTTCAGCTGGGGGTTTCTGTGCAGGATAAACATGTAGATTAGCAATGAATTAGTGAAGGAAGAAGTTAGATCCTTTACTGCTACTGTAAAAGCAGCAGTCCCACAATGTAGGAATATTCCATTTCAAGTACAACAACTCACCTGTTCTTCAGGCCATTGAAGGATTTGTAGAGGACATCATCATTCCACTCATAGGGCGACAGCTCGTTAGCGTGGTTGATTATTGAAAAGGCGTAGATCAGGTGTGTGCAGAGGTTGGGATCTACATTGGCAGGCAGATATTTGCCAGCACCTGGTCTATACTGGGACCAGTTTGTGAAGTAGCACACCAGTTTGGTAGAAGACACTTTTGGAGAGGGTCAAAATGATTAGAGTTGAGTTTCTATTTCAGGTCATGGGGATTAAGAAGCAAAATGACAATGTAATATAAAGAAGTTAAATAATGAGTGCATACCCATCTGGAGACACATCAAAACGGACAGACCTTAAAAACAACATTTAATTATAATTGTGTTCATTTGCACAAGATAGTTGCATTTGAAGGAATGAACTGAAAGAATGTAACTTACCAGCCAACATTGTTAGTCGAGCCATGTTGTTGTAGTCTTTACCTCAGAGCTGCAACTTAAAAATAAAAAAATAAAGGATTATGAATCTTTATGAGATTGCAATACAGTTTTTGTAGACTGGAACCAGTTTACCATCTAGAGGCTGTACTATAGGTAATGCTGCACATAATAAAATATAGGCTACTAAAACCTGTGTGCTGAAGGCTTACCTGTTGCCAGTGATTGGCTGGATGTGCCAATGATCTACCTGGGAGTCCTTTTTATAGGTGTGATCAGGGCGGCATGACAGTGAGGTGCAATGGATCCTTCAGGAGAGGATACTTGTCGCTGTGAAATCGGTCACATTACACTACAGTGAGAGGCTGAAGATGACATGAATTTAAGATGGTATCTATTTTTATTGCCAGATAAAACTGGATCAGAGTGCATTAAATTATGTAAACTTGCCTCTGTAAAGTCACTCAGATCAAGGGAGCTGGTCGATTCATGCAGATAAGATGACCTAATTAAACACATGGTGTGATGCATTGTATTTTATATGACATTAGGATTGAAATGGTTTCCATGGTAACAACAACTTTAGAAGCCTCTAGTTGTTACTGATCATGTTTACACCTTTCTCAACCCAACTTTTCATTTTCAGCACAACTATTGATATGCATCTCGCTTGATCCTTGAAAAAAACAATTCCAGAGCATGACATTTGCAAAGACACTGGTTTCTTGCATTTTTTTCATCTTCGTCTTGAACAGCTTGTATGCTTCCCCGCGTGGACAATTTTCCACTTGCAGATACTTGTGTGTTTTCTGTTTTGAGACTAATTTAACTTCATATTAAAATAACTGGAAGGCTTATGCATGGAACAATTATTTCACATGCTAAGAAACACCCATTCTATTAAAATCAGCATATTCTCTGTAAAGGTTCTCTTTTGTCCAGGTCACTGGATTTCTTGGAGTCCTTAATTTTGTCACACGTTCAAGAGACTTCATCAATTTGGAACAGATTGATGATATTGAACTGATTATTATTATTATTATTATTATTATTATTATTAATTTGAATCATTACATTGTGCTCAGTTATTACATCACACACAGTTTATACATTATGAGTTGCTACTTTTGTTGTTGTTTGCCCTGGCCTTGTCATGACCCTTGATATTGCATTAACTAAGAACTCAACAAAGGAAAAGCCTTGTATATTAATCTATATACTTTATGATTTGGTTGTTCCCTCCTATAATCAGAGGGGTGCAATAATAAAATATCAGGGATCACAGTATCATATCAGAGGCCTGATAAATGTTGACGTCATAGATAAGATATATTTTTCCATTAAGATGTATGATCCTTTGATGATGTAACTATGTGTTATCTTGAATGCCAACAAAATGGCCAAAGTTCAATAAGATAGAAATATCTTTTCAGGTTTTGCTTTAAGCTGTTTCAAAGACCAAGTGATGCCGACAGTTAAAGGAACACTTGGGGTGATAAGCATATTCCCTTTCTTGCAAGAATAAGGTGTGAAGTCTGATTCCACTGCCATCTTTATGGTAAATATGAAGCTGCAACCAGCTAACTTAGCTTAGCACAAATACTGGAAAAAGGGGGACAACAGGACCAGCAACCCCATGTAAAACAGTGAATTGTCATTATTGTACATGTGCTCTTAGGTAGTTTTTGTTAGCTTTGAACAGAGCTAAAATAGCTGTTTCCCTGTTTCTATTCTTTATGCTCAACAAAGTTAGCCGGCTTGTGGTTGTAGCAAGAAGCGTACAGAAATGAAAGTTATCTTACACTCACAGGTATTCTGTGATTGAAACACATTGGATAAATTGTCCTGAGGATGTGAACACAGATACCTGCAAAAGGTTCAAGACTAATTCTATTCAAAGACTAATAAATCACTCCTTTTAAAATTAGGAAACAAAGGAGCTGAATTCAACATTCATAGTCACAACAAACATGCTAGAAATAAATATTTCCACTTTATTTACATTAAGGACATAACTGTGGTAATACACAGATAATGTTAGGGGTCAAATAAACTAAAGCTGTTACATCAAGATTAATGATTTCTACCCATCTCCATCGTGAGGAAAATGGGGATACAGTTAAGTCAAGTTCATAGAGAAACATAAGCAACTTCTGATTTTACAGCTGGTTTATGGCGGCTTTATGATTCCCTAAAAGGTTTGACCTCTTGCCTCCCAGCAGAGAACAATTTGCAAACAGACCGTGCAAATGAATCATTAGTGCCTGGAGATATTTTATAATCCTCCAGCTATCACCAACAACACTTTTATGTTCTCACATTGCACCATAAACTCTAGCGTACAAAACAAAGAGCATGTGATCTAAGTTCAGGGAGTATATTCTGGCCTCCTTGATCGTAAAAGTATGGTATGCCGCCCTTATTTTAAACAGCCAACACACGTAAAATAAACACAAATCTGATTATTGAAATTAGCTGAAAGAAAAATATGTAAAAACAGTAGTAAAGTTGGTCCTTGTAACTGCTTTTATCAACATGATAAACTGATCCACTTCTGTCTCCTCTGATGTGCAGCGAGTGTCTCTCCATTGACAGGATAACTGAACATGTACTCATGCATAAGCACAAACACACAGCATTTTTATTTACAGGAAATGCAATACAAAACACAAAAGGTAAAGCTTGCTTTTCATCAGATGAACAAGCATCTCATCTCTAGTATTGTCCCAACTATTTTGCCATTTTCTTTAAATGCAGGAAAGTTGCTTAATCTGCATCGGCACAGGGGATTACAGCACCTCAGACTCCGGCTGTTCCCTTCTGCAGACAAACCACAAGCACCACAAGTTCTTAATTCAAGGTGGAGGGTACAAGCACGGTAAAGTCACATGACAAACAGGGAGGCAGTTTGAATTTTGAGCTTTACGCCAGGGAGTAGATGGTTTTCATTGGAGAGTGGAGCTCCAGACTTGCACCAAAGTCCAACTCCCTGACGTCTGTCCTGGTTCCTGTGTACTGGCCGATGAACGAGCCGTCCTCGTTGAACGGCATCTCGCCTCCTTCACCATAGTCCACCAGACTGTCGTCACTGTCTGATCGCTTCATCATTGCCTCCCTGGACAGATGGCCTCTTTGAATCCCCCTTTCCTCCTCTCTACAAAACAGTGCAAACAAATAAAATCTTGGTGCATTATGTCAGCACTAGAAGAAATAAATGATGAAGGGTTCAACTAAACCTGATGTATCAATACATTTAAGATGGTCATGTACATACCGCCGGGGGTAAGGCAGAGTGGAGATTCGTGCTATCCTAGAATATGAAGAGAGCTTGTATGAGATCATTTGTGTGACAGGATCGATGATTTTATCTCATTTCATTTATCATCCACTCATAAAATGCTTGTTACAGTTCCAATATTATGTTATGAATATTTCATTTATAGCTCCAAACAAGTATCAATGTGTCAATATTTAGTCTTTTCATACCTTTCAAGAGACCTTGAGTGGTTCAGTGGGGAAAGAACAGGGTTGAGGTTTGGGGAGAATAAAGGTTTAGATAGAAAAGGTAGAGTAAATAGAAAAAAAACAGAAAATAATTCAAGTGTGATCAAAGAGTTATCATAAATAAGGTGATAAATAATGAGTATTATTACCACGCTATTATAAAATAATAGTACATGCTGTTGCACACCTTGGAAACAGGAAAGATTCAGTAGATAAGACCGATAACTTGACAATAAGAAGTGCTAAATTCAAAAATGAGTATCTTTTTCTGTCCACTGTAATGCTTACCTGTAGTCAAATGATCCCTCCTGATCTTTGTCATCCACTGGCTCCAATGAAATATCTTTTTTTTCCCGTACTGAAATTACAACAAGCTACACTGTAATAAGAGCTACAGTGTGGTGCTATTGGGCATGGCATAGTAAGGGGAATCACCAATGTATACCTGGGTATTTCCCCCCTCGGCTCCTCTTGATGAAGCAGACTATGAGTAGGATGAGCACGATGAGAGCCACAGCACACATAATCCCGATGAACCAGCCCTGAGTGGTGATGTCCACCTGGTCCTGAGCATACGCTGAGACACACACAAATATGTGCACACACATCAAAGTCAGCATCCACTCAGCACTGCAAAGTGTTTATTTGGTAGACCACCAAATGTGTTGCACGAAGCAGTAAAGTACTTTCAGTGGTGTAGTGGGGCGACTCCTCCGTATGCCATTCCCCTATCCCGATCCGAGTCCGTGCCGCCACGGAGAATCTGTAGCGAGTGTAGCGGTCGTATCGCCGGAGTGAGAAACTTGTTATATTTGGAGTGAACTCCTCAACTCGCAACTCCTCTCCCCTGGTGGCATTCACTGTGGAGAGAGTGGACATTCCAGTATGTTAGGAGCACCCTTGATGCCGGTAGCGTGCACACAACTGAGTTGTTGAGTAGCTTACCTGCTCGGAGAGTGCCCGCACAAGTGTTCATTACCCTCTCAAGAACATACTTCAGTGGTATTTAGTTTTTTATGTGCATATTTAAGTGTGCTATTATGTGCTACAGGGATGTGGACTTCAGTGCCATGTGGAAATCTTTGTTGCATTAGTAAAATGAGTTTTTCTTTTCCATCATTAAAGCCTTGCTGTTTCTCCCAGGCACAGTGCAGAAAACTAAATTGTGAGTTATTTGACAGTGTTTCAGATGTTGGGTTTGGGTACCTGTCTGGTACTTGAGGGAATATCCAGTAACGACACCGTTGGGTTCTGCTGGAAGGTCCCAGTCGACATAAATACTGTCTAGATGTCGCTGTTGGATCCTGAACGATCTGGGAGCAGATGGTACTACAGACAAAAAACACAGCAGGAGACGACGCACATAAGCTTTGTTCTCTTGTTCCTTGGTTGTTGAATTTGTGACTTTTTCTTACCTCCCTCAGGCGTTGAGAAGTGGATACTATTACTGGGTGGCCCTTCATATCGATTGTTTGCCACGACTATATACAGCTTGTAGTTGCTATAGGGAATGAGCCCAGTGAGGACCCCAGAGGGTTCTGGATCATTGTCTAGAAACGCTTTAGACTTCATCCCTCTATTGACCCTCAGCCACCTCAGCTGGCTGGTGTCCCTCCAATAGTAGGCCTGAGAGATGAGAAGCAACAAACCCAGCATTGTGATGATGCTGAAAGCACTGTATTGCTGTTTTTGGTAGCAATTTTTCAAGACAAAATTCCAATAATTCATTATGTATGTATGCTTTGTTAAGTTCTGTTCATTTACATCAACATCTCTATGCTAAAGTCATGGGCTGTAACAACCACTGAAAACATGAGCCACATCTCAAACACCTGAGCTAATTATCACAAAAATGATTGGTGAAAAAAACCAAAACATTCTTAAAACAATATACTTTTTGTTAAAATCAGTTGAAACAAATCAAATCAACAAACAAATAAACAAAAAAAGAAACAGAAAGGCTTTTATAAAAATGGACAGTGGACTCTCCCAAAACATACAGTGTGTTCTCAATTTCTATTGTTGTCTATCATCATACATGCAAGCTTTATTCAAAGGCCATTATCCAGTAAAACATGTACTATAGACACACCTTGTATTCCTTCAGTTCGCCCATCATTGAGCCGCGTGTCACTGAATCCCAGTGCAAAGTCACCTGAGTGTTCTCGATGTCAGACACTCTCAGGTTCAGGGGTGCAGTTAAGGGACCTGAGGAAAACAGAGATGGCATTGTCTTTGCTCATCAGTGAACACACAGAGAGGTGATGAGAAGGACTATTTGGCCCCATGATGTAAAAAAAATAATAAGAAAAAACTAAACTTAATTATAAACAATAAGAGGTGTGAGTGGTTTATTCGTCTGAAACCATTCATGATTCCCTGTGGATTAGGATTCAGAGAGGAGTAACTAAATGAAAAGAAAAACCTGAATAAATTAAGTGGAGAAACATAACATCAGAGGTGTCCATAAAGGTCAGAACTGGTCATTGAATGGTTTAATGTGTATGAAAATGATGGGAATCATATGCTTTGGCCTTTGCAGTCACCAGATCTCAACCAAATTTCCAAATTGAACACTTAACACCCTTACATGCATGGCATACTTTAAGAAAAAGTGTATCTTAATATGAAGAGATGCACATTAACAGGGTTCATATGAGCTATGAGAGATTTTGTCTCTATAAACGGCACAATATTTTGATATCGGAAGCTTTCTGGATTCCGAGTAGTATTGACCAATTACATTCAAGCAGGCTTTGGTTGAATGCAGGTAAACAGTCGGTGTGGAGAGCAAAAGAGGCGGCTGAAATGTAATCTCAGAACCCACTGGCTATCATCTGACGATGATTTAGCTTTTAATCGGGTTAAAAATTGCTCGTGAACTGGCTACTTGCGAAACAATCTGGTCGTACACGTTGTCTCTCAACTCCCAACTCCAGTCCGGCATCTCAAGTTGCTAATCAGACTGTTAACAATGAGCAGCGCACGGAAAAAAAGGAAGTCTTGGCCCGGATATCCGCTGTCTACACCGGACTCCCCAAAAGACACATGAAGTTAGTTTTTCCTGTCTTTGGTCCTCATCTATATAATGCAGAGGATTTAGGCACTTACGGTCCTCCCCAGAGTAACCGATGACAACAGGAGACTCTGGACCCAACCCAAAGTCATTGACAGCCTGGACTTTGATGTCATACGGAGTGAAGGTATCTGCATCGTAGATGTAGTACTTCAGCCATTTAGTGGTTGCATTCTTCCACTCCTCTCGGGATTCTCTCCTTCTCCACCACACCAGATACTTCAGGTGGGGCCCGTTCCACTCTCTGTAGGTCAGAGGCTGAAAGCATGGTCAACAGGGACATAGATCGATTGTTGTAGAAATTAAAATATTCAACAGTCAAGATGAATATGAAAGTGTTTTTGTTTTGGTTCTTTACCTCCCAGCTGATCTCCATGTTATTCCTCCATGTACCCACACCCTTTATGTTCTTTGGGATGATATCTGGGGCTGTGCAGGAAAACCAATGCAGTGGTAAGATGTTAGCTTTAAAGAAAGAGTCCAGCACTACAGGAAATACACTTATTACATTTCTTGCAAGTTAGATAAAAAGATTGATACCACTATGTATTGAAATAAATGTAAAGCTCTGGCCAGGAGATGTTAGCATACCATAGCATGAATGTCTGTGTACAGACATGAGAGTAGTATTGATCTTCTTATCTAACTCTTTGCAAGAAAACAAAGTATTTCCCAAAATGTCCAACTGTTCCTTGAAAATGTGCTACACAAGTGGCTGTTTGCTATCTTAAAATATGTGTCTGCAAACAAGTGTGTATTTAAGAAAAATCAAACCCACGAGCACCGCTGCTCTGGAAGCGCGAGGATGGACGACTGGGGCGACTCATTCCGATTTCATTGATGGCGATTACCCGAAACTCATAGTAGGTGAAAGGTGTAAGATGCAGAATGACAGAGTTGAGGTTCCCTGGGTATGTTGAGAGGTTTCTCCACTTACCAGGCAACCAGTCATCATCATCATACTGCACTAAGTAGTCTGTAACACAGCAATCAATGGAAATGCTGAAAATGTATGATAAATACAACAATAACTTCCTAAAAACAAGACTTATTTCTGTGAGTTTATTCAGTTGAATAGCTCTTACCTGTTATAGGGTTGTGGTTGCTGTATCCAGCTACCCAACTCAGTCTTACACTGCGTTCATATGGATCGGACAACTCCAACTTAGTGGGAGGATCTGGACGGTCTACACACAAACATGCATAAACAATTAAAGAGCCAAACATGCCGTATGCTTGATGAAATGTCATTTATTTTAAACATGCCATACCCATCACCATTAGGCGTGCTGAGGCAGACTTCTGGTCCAGCTCACTCTTGATGACACAGGTATAATTACCCTCATCACCTCTGTTTACATTACTGATGACCAGATTTGATTCATCCAGACTGATCCTGAGGATACAAAAGAGTACTAACTGGTGAGCTCAAGACGCTGATTGGTCCACACTAAAACAAAAATTTAAATAATAGAAATAATTAATTCATAAAATGACATACCTCCAGCCAAGAGTGACATGCTTTTTGTCTTTCATCCAGTTGGTTGTGACGGGAGTAGTTACATCTGCTTGTACACCGCACTCAAAGCGCACATCGCTTCCACGGATGACTTTCATGCTCTGTGGTCTTGTGACAATTAAAGTGGGCTCTGAGAAGAGTGGATGCAAAAACACATGATGGATCACACAATCAAAGAATTTAAAGTAAAATATTTTTTGTATAAAACTGTGACCCTCACCTTTGACCTCTATTCGGACTTGACTCTCATCTCTTCCTGCGACGTTGCTGACTATGCACAGGTAAGTTCCCTGGTCCTCTATCCGTATTTGTTTGATCTCCAGAGTCCCGTTACTGTGGGTCTTAAAACGATTTCCTTCAAGAGTACCCTGTCCATATCTGGACCTGTTTGGGCAGAATCACGAACACACACACACACACACACACAAACTGTGAGCTAATGTCTGAACACTATTAAATTCTCTAACAGCGTCTTCTCACCATCGCAACTCGGGTACCGGAGAACCAAAGTAGCGGCAGTCTAGGAAGGAATGACTGCCCTCTATCACTTTGATGAGTTCATTCCTGGGCCCAACAATACGCGGCGTTGCATCTAGAGAAACATTGATAATTTATAATAATTATTATTAATAATTATTCTTTATACAATTAACACTTGCACATCCATGGGTCAATATTTTACACATTCCTGCACAAAACTGTAGAGCTCTTCCACTTTAAAAACAGATTTATCTTTAACGTATTTCTTTTATTTTCTAATGTACATTTATCTTTTTATATTGTGTCTCTACTTTAATGTTACCTTTGCACTTTGTTCATTGTTATGTACCAAATCACCAAGACACCTGATATATTACAGTTCCAAAATAATTGTGTGGTAACTTACGTAGCACGTTGACAAAAGCGTTGGCCATCATGTAGCCAAACTGATTGGAAACATTGCACTGATAGACTGCAGTGTTTGCAGCGGTCACACTCTGTAAAGTCAGCGTGTCTCCTGACACCTGTCTGTTAGGCTGAGGTGTAGCCGCTGGAAAAAACAAAACAGGCAAAAGTTATTTAGATTCACTTTGACAGCCAGTACGCATGAACTCCAAAATCGTACTTTCAATAGGTTCCCCGTTGATGAACCAGCTGACTGTGGGACGCGGAGCCCCATCAGAACGACACAACAGGCGTCCATTTTCCTCGGGGGCCAAGACCAGATCAGTGGGTTTTTCCAGCCAGAAGGGAGCCGCTGTCAAATACAAGTCATTTAGTTGTTTCAACACTACTGTGAAGTAGATAATGACAAATCGTATCTGAAAGTGACCCTCACCTTTGACCCTGACGGTTATTGTGCGCTCAATGTATCCAATCTTATTCGTAGCAGCGCAAGTGTATTCACCCACATCATCAAAAGACGCCTTTGGGATTTGAATCATCTTGTTGAAGTTCTTTACTTTCGTGCGGGCCGATACCACCAGGTCATCACCATTCTTGGTCCATGTAATACGAGGAGTTGGCCTTGATGATGATAAACAAGGCTTTACACAGAACCACTTTCATGAAAGCAAAGTAAAAATGATACCAAAGAGAGAATATAGACAAAGTGGCTTTTTTTTTTAACTGTAACATTGATATTCTATTAAAAAAAGACCTTGAGTTGCAGAATATCTTGAGTTGACACTTACACTCCTGCAGCGATACACTCCAGGAGAAGTTCTTCCCCTTGCAGGACCAGTATGGAGCTGGACGAGCCTGTGGGAGACAGCCAGGTGGGGGCAGCCTCGGCTACTGTGCGAGCTGCAGAGGAAACAAACCAAAACAAACCAGAACACATCAGTCACACGCATTCACAAACCCTGTCTGACCATGAAACAAGTTAACTCAGAAAATAAGAGAGGACAGCTGAAGCAGTGCACACACTCACCACAGTAAGTACGTTTAGTCAGAGCAAACAAGGAGTCTTTTTAGGGTACAGTCTGACATAAAACAAAACGGTCCATTTTATAAGTATAATAATCACAAAAAAACACAAGGAGTTAATGGGAAAAAAATATATTGTTATGAGTGTATCAGTTTGGTTAGAGTCAAGGTATTATAGATGAACAGAACAGTTTTGGTTTGTAAACCTTTAATCATTTCCCAATTGATGTGTTTTTGGCAGAAAACAGAGATGCAGTATGAAGATGTAAACAGGAAAATCTTCATAAGAAAATAAGAAATACAACTAATCAAATATCTTCTTAAGTGTTCTGCATGGAGTGCATGTTTATTTATTTTTTAATTTTCATTGGTCTTTTGCAATTACCACAGGGTACGAATAGAAACTGTTTCACCTGACTGACAACAGGCCAAAGAGCCCCGCCATGAATCAAGACAAACCTCCTCCCACAGGTCTCTAAATCGAACCTGTATTATTCGTTTCATGTACATCCATTGCATTTAGTAATTTGCTGAGCTTTTAGGTTAGGCCCATATCTGAAGTGTACACATGAAGCTTGCAGGTTACCAGTAGTTGAAGTAAAAGTTATTTAAGTGAAGGTAGCAATACCGCAGTGTAGAAATATAGTAAAAATCCTGCATCAAAATATTGTTGAAATATAAAAAAGTACTAATTATGCAGAACGACCCATTTTACAACAATTTATATTATGATATTGAATTATAATGTTTGATGCATTTATGTGTACATTACTTTAATGTTGCAGCTGGTAAAGATGGGTCTTATTTTTATATTAACTACTGCTGGGTAGCTTGTGAGTAGAATTATAAAATAATGTACAAGTACTTCAAATTGTACTTCAGTACAGTACTTGAGAAAATGTCCTTAGTTACTTTCCACCACTGCACATTACAACTGTGAAGTAATATTTTGCGAACCAAAAAGAAAATGGACACTGTGAACACACAATCATACTCACTTGTAAGCACTTTAACGACCACAGGCATCTTCTGCTGGATGACATTCCTGTAGGGGAAGCGGGCATTGCAGCAGTAATCGGCGGCAGAGTCGTTGAACAGGACGTTAGAGAAATACAGATCTCCGTTTACTCCCATAGATACCCTGCGGTCCGGCCGCACAGGCTGCATGGTGGGGAAAGCTGTCTGAACTGGCCAGTTGAAAGGTCTCGCATATGAGCCTGAGATGGTGTGAAAAATAAAGTCAGTTCACAGGAATTTCTAGAATTCTTGAAAGCTTGTTTGATTGGCGGATCATTAAAATGACTCCTTGTTGAGCCTTATTGATTCAAACATTTAGAGACTCTTACAGCTGGACATCCAGTAAGTTTCAGGTTTCGGCGGGCCTACCGGCGGGTCACAGGACAGGACCAGAGGCAAGCCAGCGCTGACCACCACAGGCTCCAGAACCTCCCTTGGCCAAACAGGAGCTCCTTCACAAACACATAGGTTTACATGTCTCCACTGAGCAGCAAGGTTGGGTTTTGTTATTTTCATAACAGTACAGAACACATTACAAATCTGAACGGCAACATATAAATAACTGAGCTGATCCACTATCAGATATTATTATAGTATCTTGTAGGACTTGTCTGGTAATACTCAGAATCTCATGAAAAGTTAAAAACAGGCAGTGAATTCATCCGACCATCATGTATTGTTTCTGTAACTTAAACTCATCAGTAAGCCTCACCGTAATTTATTTTGAGTCAATCTCACCTAAACCGTCCTGCCGTCACTAGCATCAAATCTGAAGCTGAAAATAATCCCTATTAAATACACTGTATACTCCTGTTTGAGTAATATCTGCTAAAAAATAACTACACTACAGCTTTTTAAATAAAGAAAAAGTATATATTTGTGACTTTGTGTCTTTAAAGATGTATGTGCTACAAACAGGGTAGGGATGTTGTAAAGTACTGCAGGACAGACTAACACATTATTAGTTTTGGTCTTTTCATAGGGGTTACTACCAATGCCACAATACACAATATAGCTTGACTTAGCCTTTCATTTTCAAGGTATTTTTGTTGTTGATTTTTGGTATAATTCTTCTTGCACTTTAAGAAAATATCCACTCAACAGTAAAGAGTAATGCAGCTGAATTCTCAAAGAAAGTCAAATTAAAGTGTGTAGGCCGGAAGCAAAGTATCATCACAAATCAAATAAGTTGACATTCATGCTTTGCACGTCCACTACACAACATATTATATAGAAAATGTGAAAAAATGCTGCTGCATAGATCTTTCGTGTTTAATTGAAATAGTTTGCATTCATTCCAAAGTAATGTCCATATTGTGTCACTGCACACCATGAGGCCACTTTATATTTACAAATAAATAGTTTGATCTCTAACAGGCCCAATAATGATCTTACTGTATAGCCGTAGTCTGATCTTGTTGGAGTATGCAGATCCATACTCATTGGAGGCAATGCACTGATACTCTGCCTCATACTGTTCTGGATTGTTCCAGGCATAGATGTCCAGAGTCCCTGAACGCCTTCGCATCGAAGCTTGAGCATCACGTGCCACGTTGAAATACTTCCCATTACGTCTCCATGAGAAACTTCATTATTGAGTAAAAAGTGTAAAAGAAGACAGTGAGGTGGTTTGCAGATGATTATACGAGTGTTAAACAAAACTCTTCAGAGGGCTACATCAGCTCTTACATGGGATGAGGGTTTCCTTTGGCTTCACACTCTATGACCATGGTGTCTTTGGGGTCAACAATATGCTCCTTCATCGACTGCTTTATGATGGTCGGGGGCTGTCTGACTGCAGGCAGAGAAATAAATCAGCTTAGTTTATTAGAGACGTATAGCTTAAGACAATACGTATCATAAATTACATGCACATTAAGTTACTGACTCACTTTCCAGAGGTATGTCCAAAGCCCAAACACTCTGCCATAAAAGAAGCAGCAGTGCTGGTTCGACCAGTGTCCCCATCTTTACAGTACATGGAACCAAGCAACTTATTCCTTCACCAGCTCTCCTGTTCTCAAATTGAGTTAAGAAAAATACAGGATATCTACAACACAGTCATGTCATGCAGATAAAATCCAGCACAAATTACTGTAAATGAAACTTCTTACAATGGATTGTATTAGTGGTTCACAAATCATCTGCACAGTAGTGGAAAAGGTAATACCGCAATGTAAGAATGGTGGCATTAGTAAGTAAAAGTCCCTCAAAATCCTACTCAAGGAAAAGAACATATAGTATCAGTAGAATGTACTTCCAGTATCAAAAGTAAAACTACATTCTGCACTCATTCTGCTGAAATGCAAAAATGTCTCCTTCAACTGTTTTATTATACATCAATTACAATTACATTATTATAACTCATGCACTAATGTTTAGGCAACTTTTTACTGCTGTAAGTCGAGGTGGCTAGTTGTAGTTCAATCAAGGGTTTCTCAACCTAGGGGTCAGGCCGCCTCCAAAGAGTCACACAGTTAATCTGAGGGGTTCTGTTGTGATAAATGGGAGAGAAAAGAAGAAAAAAAGTTCTGATACATAAATTGGTATTCATTTTGGGGAGTAACCTTTAATCTTGTTTTTTTTTTTTGTAGAATATTGAATAATTCAATAACCCTTTGAATGTCAAACAAATGAAACCATTTCAAAGTTTAGAGGGGATAATCCCTCTACACAATGTATTGTAGCTTCAATGTTTTTTTTAAAAATTCTTAATCTGGAAAGTAATAGCTGTCAGGTAAACGCCGTGGAGTCAAAAGTAAAAAAAGGTCTCTCTGAAATGTAGTGGAGTAGAAGCATTAAGTGGCATCAAATGAAAATACTCGATACCTCAAAATTGTACTTGAGTACAATGCTTGAGTATAAATGTACTTAGTTATTCCCACCACTAACATCTCCACCACTTAGATCACACCACTGTATCACATTCTCCAAGAGAATAGTTTATCACACAAATATAAGAACAGGTGATTAAACTGTGTCTCAAGCTGTCATGATAATGAACTCCCTGAATGTCTGTGGAGTCAATATGTAGTTCTATTAGATGACTTTTCAAATCTTTGTTTACCACATCATTAATGTAAATATGCAATGAACCACAAGTCATGTTAGTATGACTAGAACAACAAGTTGTCAGTACCTACCGCTCTCAAATCAGGGCTCTGTCCTCCCCATCTCGTTGGCTTCCCCAACGCATCAATAATTCCAACGATTTTTCTCAACAAAATGATTCTTGTTCATGCAGTATACCAATTAGAGCCTCTGTCCTTCAGATATCAGGTCAAGAACCCCTAGAAGAGTTGATGCACTTCAGTAATAAAGTTTCTGTCTGTCACTGCCACTTACACTCTGCCCACCCATCTCATGAATAATGAATGAGCGCCATACTCCACCCACTCCTCACCCACATCACTGTTCCGACAAGGCTCTCACGATTCTCAACAATCCTTCTCAATGAAACACAGTCTCAAAGTTTGTTCACACAATAAACAAGCGGATATTCTCCAGAAATCAAATTAAGGTTTGGATTCATTACAGTTGGGGTATTTTTACATGAATTGGATTGAGAAAGGCAGGTCATATTTTTCTTGAGCCTGGCTTTTTTAGTTCTCAAAGCAACAAGCTTTTGCATTCTTGTTGGTTTTGATGACATGAAAATGTGGGCTTTATTGTTGACTGGAGAGAATGAAAGCAATGTTTGTTTCTCTCATATGAATTTTGCATGTGGCAAATCTCAAGTCACATGACTCCAGCATAATAGCTCTGACAAAGGATGGAAATAGGCATTTCAATGTTTTTCATTAACAATTTGGCTATTACTTTGTACTGTTGACCTTCTGCTATGAAATACTTTATGTTTAATAACTCCCTTCTCACACCACCTGTATTTTCAGATTTCCCAGATTTTCCATTATACCAATTAGAACTTATTCTCTGTTTTGTAAGACTTTTTTTTTTCTACACTCAGCTATTCACATGCATATCCCCAGAGGAGGAAAAGGTCATTACCATTCAGCTGAGAAAATCCTATTGGGGGAAGCAGCAGTTTTCTTTTCTCGAAAAAGTGCCAAAGTCGCAGGAGAAGCTGTATTTGTGTAAGACAAAAGACATCTCAAGGCTGTCGACAGAGTCCTGATCTGTGTAGGCTTCCAGGCATCCACACAGCGCTGCATATACAAACCAGCACTGACTGGGCCAAACAATAGCCTGGTGGTGAGGAAGGAGGGGGGATAAAATGAGGTGGCTCTACCTACAGATGAAATTAAACTTGGAATGAAGATTTGTATCTGGAAGTCGAATCATGAATCCAACTTAAAATTGAAAAGTTTGTATAAACATATTCCTCATCATAAAGGATTTGACATATTTTCATTCATATTTGGAAAGAGTATCAGACCACTTGTGACGTAGACACAACCTGACATCCCCCATACATTGGACTAAAGCAGGCTTGGCAGTGAGCAATGATCAGTGCCATGCACCAGATTGCACAGTGAAGAGGCAGAGGGACGGACAGAGCCAGCTCAGTGGCGACAAGAAGGTCTCTATGCTCGCGGGTCTCCTTTGGCACGTGTGCCCAGGGCTCGGGTAAAAGCAGATGGCATGTGGGAGGGAATGTTCGACCGCACAAGTTGCCTTTTCAGACTCGGAGCACCTTTCATTTGCACTTTGACGTCACTGCATCAGGGGGCTCACAAGAAAAGGCCAGAGAGAGACTCCGGGACACTGAGCTGCATTGAGTCATCACCACTGTGCTATCAAAACATTATTGTCTCACAAACTTCGAGTTCTCTGCGATTCTGACTTTATAGTGAGGTAACGGTAATCCACAGAAACAGAATATTTTCTCAAGAGCATCCTGTAACAAGAATAAGATTCAACAGCCATGCTAGCTGCTCTGTGAGACAGTATTTAGGTACAGAGGTACTTGAAGTTAAATGCTCATTTCAACATGCTAACATGTTATGTAATGTTAACTAATAGAGTTTTTGTATTTAGTTTTGGAAGTATTTGGTTATAAAACAAAGTATTGGACGATGTGATGGTGGCAACTGTTGAGGATCACCAAAGAAAAGGGAAAATGAATGTCTGAACCAAGTTCAATTCAGCCTAATTGTTTAAACATTTCACTCGGATTCATCGTCTGAGGACCATGAATGTCTGTAGAAATTCTCATGGCAATCCATTAAATTGCTGTTATATAGATATATTACATTACCATTCACAGAGCCCACGCTGTTGAATCCAAAAAAAATATAAAGACCAAGGGATATTTAGTGCTATGTGCAACATTTAAGGGAAACTTAAAGTTAATTTCCAGACATTATTCAGTAAGATACGTAGTTCATAAAGTGAAATGCACATCACACTTGTAACTGAAACATCGCCACATAAAAAGTGAAGCAAATTCATGCCAGTCATCTGAAAGGCGTGAAAGCTGAACAATCTTGTGTTCATTGATACAAATCTGCTGATGCAGTTGTAGACCCGTCCCACTTCTCAACTCAGACTATGACATCATTAAAACCTTGACTTCCATTGAGAGCCGTCTTGACCAACAGCTGTAAGGACTAAAGCACCCCTTCACATGACGATACACTATATGCTACTCTAAAGTGTCTTAATGAGCTCCAATTCTTTGTACTTAATATCCAAAAGATGATATTCAAAATGATCTAAACAAAGTAGAAAATGGTGATTATTAGTGGTCCTACCTTCGAGTGTAGTTTAAGGTGTTTTCTCTGCTCCTTGGCCCCTTCTCCTTGGTGCAGTGGAAGCAGACCCCTCCTTTCTTCTTCCTGTCACAGTAGATTCACATCATCTTCTTCACAGTGAGCTTCACTTTTTCCAGCAGCATCTGATATTTGTGTTATTTATCACTCCATCAGCTTAACGCAGGTAAAAAGCAGGATAACAGAAGCTCATGTGGCCCGTCAGGACGGTTGTCCCGAGTCTGGGTCACATGCCTGGCAAACGGGGCCTGTGAGCTTATAATAATAAATCCATTGTGAAATCCTCACATAAGTATACCGTCATCTCCACAGTGAATAAATAGTTAAATAAAGTAACATGTCATACACTAGTTTGAGGTTTAGGCTTAGGTGTCATTCAGCTCTTATCTAGCAATAATCAGCTGCAGCTTTATTAAGAGATCAAGTCTTGTTTTGTATTTTTTCATGTGTGCTGCTGGTTTGCAGTGCGTTAGATGCGTAGTGGGTTACTGACCTTGTATCTTCACTCTGGCTGGCACGAACGCGCACTCTCTCACACAAAGCGTTTCTGTTTGGAACAAAGTCAGTCTATTGTGGACAGGGAGGACACAGCTTCCACACACATGGGGGGGGGGGGATTTAACCCATCACATTAAGATGATTGGATGACTTTTCCCTCATTGATAAAGTTTGACACAACTTGCCAAGAACAGGGTGATTTATTTACTGGGCTGGCAAAAAATGGTGTTGGTTTTATGTGTTCAGTACAGAATAAAAATAAACTTTCATGACAAGAACAAAAGTCTTCATAAATATGAATTTATTCAAAACATACAATAATACAATGCCCGATTGCACAATAATATACTACTTTATCTGTGATGTCACATGAAAGAATATATCACATTCAACAACACTGAGAAGTGCAACATTAACAGAAATAATCAGACAGGGCATTATGTGACATGCACACATTACACATTTTTTTAATAAAGTGCATGAATGTGCTATAAGTGAGGCTTGTTGACAACATCATATTGATTTGGCTCAAAGTAGCCTGCATGTATAACAAGAAGTGGACCAAACAGCAGAAACATATTATGACATGATAACCTTGATGAATTTCAAGAAGCTTAGCAGCAACTATCTGGTTTCTTTGTTTCTCTTTAAGTTGTCAACCCCTTCTGAAGGCTGATGCATTCTGCTGATCAGTAAGCTACATAACTTAATACAACTCACCTAAGTAGCTTGCTTTGTAATTGTGAATTCAGCTGCAAACTCTTCAAATCACATTTTTTTCACAACAACTGATGCCAAAGACAGAAAACTGCAATAAGCAATGACAGCTGTGGCAATCACCAAATTCAATGGCTTCATCTTCTAAAGACCATGAATGTTTGTACAAAATTGAAAGGCAATCAATCCAATAGTTGACAATATAAATCTGTATATAATACAACATCTATATATAATATAAGTCTGGCCAAAATGGTGGACAAACATTGACATTGACATCCATAGAGCCATGGCGCTGGAGTGGCTAAAAAAAACCTAGTTGAAACGACACTTTTGAGGTCTCAACAACAAACCAAATTGCATTAATACATCAGGGTTGTTATTTTGTCCGCTGGGTATCAGTGTGTACTCGGTATGCATTATTGTGTACACATACCTCATACTGTACCTACTCACACCCATCTCTGCTTCATCTCCCAGGCCCTCTCACTCATCCAGTCCTTAGTCCTGCTTGCAGCTGAGCGCTCCGCCCCAAGCACCAAACAGAGCCTTGCCAGTTTGGGCCGGTTTCTCTCAAGGTAGATCTGGTTGTCGCTCTGCAGTTGGTCCAGGGCCTGCGGCCGGCTCTCATCCAGGGACACCAAAGCGCTCAACATGGGGTTGAAGCGGAAGTACACGTCTGGAGCCAGCAGTTCGTCCAAAAGTGTGTGGACCCCTTCGGTGTCAGTAGCACTGCTGATCAGGTTGCTGATTTTGGCCCTCAGGCTGGTGGAGGTGGTAGGTCCCCTCTTAGCATTGTCATAGCGGCCAGTGCCGAGGGACAGCACACACTGGAAGGGCTGGTTGGGCCACAGTAGACGGCTCTCATGGACAGCCAAGGCACAGGGATTGTTCAAGATGATTCCTCCATCCTACAAACACATACAGAAATCCATCTAAAAATGTACAGGACCATTCTAACATCCTGAGCGAAGCTGATTAAAGCTTGAAATACATGATCGAACTCAACAGCTTTAGCAATAACTGCAATTTCATAATACTATATGAAATTGATTAGTAGGCGGGGAGGGGGGCAGAAATATTTTTAATGCAGAGCAGGCAAAGGTCTTCAAACGTTTACTCATCCCAGATCTTTTTTCATCTAAGTTGCATTAAAAACATGGCTGTTGTGTGCACTACCAGTCATAAAGGTGTGTTTGCAGTGGACAACAATCTTGCAATAATTTTAGTAATTAGTGGCTAAGTTAAAATCATTATACCAATAAAACATAATTGGGTTACACCATCTAAAATCCTGTATGCACTTCAAGCTATTAATGGTGAACTACTTTTTCTCTCTTAGTCAAGAGGAAGGACTAAAAAAAAAAGGTATTGATGCTAGGGAGGACCTTGTTTTGTTATGAAGGGACACAGAAGGTTCAGCCCCCCTCCCCATCTAAATTATTTTCACACATTCCCTTATCACTCATTTACCAAATTTCTTCTCTGTCTTTAGCAGCAAAATTTTGAGTCTGTCACTGAAAGCCTGAACTGAAAACTCACTGAAAATGCAGAATAGCAGTTTCCTACCTGGTGAATGTTGCTTTCTATGGGGAACTCCTGGAAGTATCCTGGGGCAGCTGATGATGCTCGCACTGCCTGCCACATCTGGCAAGCTGAGCCTCCTGCGTAGCGGCTGAGAGAGCCAGGCTTGTGGTTGTAGTTGCGGAAGACGAAGGCCTTTGGACTGGTGCCCCAGTTCACCACAGCGCTGACTGCTGAAACCTGAGCAGATGCCAACAATATCCTCTGTGAGATGTGTACAAAACCACGTGCAAACTGCAATTTTAATGCTGAAAATAGAAGAATGGTGCAGATTATATTCTGTTTCACAGTAGCGTGCTCTACTTAATAAGCTGTAACCTCATCAATCCAACATTATTTTATCAGTGCTGTGAGCTTCGTGGTGATTTGACACAAAAATCGTGCAATTGTAGTATTCTTACCTTGGGACTCAACTCATCTCCAGCTGTTTTGATAAGTACTCTATTTCCCAGCTTTTCTCTAAACAGGATGAAAATAGAAAATTCCATCAGACCAGATTGTTGCTGTCTTATTAACATGTTGAGAATATACCACATACACTGGAGTACATAGTGTTAGAATCCATTCTGTGCATACCGTAGTATTTTCTCCCAGGTCTCAGTGTTATAGTAAGAGTGACTCCAGCCCATCTTCATAGTACCGACCAGCGGGTTCTGCCGAAACACTTCAGAGCCAAAACGACGATACATGTCCGCACACTCCTCTAGAGAAAAATGGGTTAGGCCCAGCATGAAGGCTAGAACGGCACCTTTAATAAACACATGCAGAGAACGACAGATGGATTCAGACTCAGAAGCATCGAGAGGTTGTTAGGCATAAATGATATCGTTAATATTGTCTTAGTAACTCTCCGGTCTGTTGTTTGTCACCTGTGCTCACTCCACAGATGTAGTCAAACAGCTGATGGATCTTCTTGCCTGTTTGAGCTTCCAGTAGCTGTAATATCTGCAAAGGCACCACACCTCTGGAAAAGACAGGGACAGAATGTTGAATATCATGAATATTAAGTGAAGAATTAACATATTAAGATGAGTTGATTAAGTCAAGTAGTTCTATACAAAGCACAGTACAGAGACCATCTTAAACAGGGTTCAGCTGAAACGATTAGTTAATAAATATATTAGTGGATAAACACAAAATCAATGAACAACTATTTTGATAATTGATTAATACTTGTCAAAAATTCACTCTTTGCTAGAAGTAAGTTCTCTCTCTGTGTTTTGAACTGTTGGTAGAATGAAACATGCAATTTGAAGTCAGTTACCTTGTGCCACCACCGTCAATTGAGAGCACTCTTATCCCACAACCTTTGACTGGATCCACGTAGCCGATTAGAGCCAAGCTTTCTCTTAAGGCACTCTGCAGCACCTGGTTATCTCTGTAGGTCCGTCGCTTTCTCAACAATGTAACTGCAGTTCTCTCCTGGAAACAGAAACTTCTTTGAGAATTCACTGAGGTCCAATCAGTTTGTCAAACGTTTGTAAAAAATGTTGTTTCACTTCCAACAAACCTGCCACATTATTGCTTTGCATGATGGGTAACGGATGAGATGTTCATTGAGTGCCTCCACGCAGAGAGCCAGAGCTTCTGGAGGCGAAACCTGTGACAGAGTGCCAATCAACCCCCGTGTCATTTCCTCTGCCTGCCTCCGACTCAATACCAGCTGAGAACACACAACCAAAGATTACTAATAAACATTTGGATACAACCTTGCATGCATGTGGCTTAGCTTTTGTAACGATACCACCAATGTTTTTACAAACCTTTTTATTCAGCATTGTCACTGGTGAAGTCATAGCAGGCTTACGAGTCTGATTCGAGGGGCCCAGTTTCAGATAAGCACCCAGCAAGTCAGGGATGGCGCTTGTGGGGTTGTAAAGGCAGTCCATAAAGGACACAGGCTTTAGTCTCTCAGAGGTAGCAGATCCAGGATCCATCTCTGTTAAGAGATTTCCATCAGTGTCCTCATCCAATCCACTTTGACCCTTGAAATACTTATTGATGTGGCCGGCCGTTTGCAAATAGTTATCTCCGAAGTTAGTGGTATTACTGCTGTGGAAAAGGCCTCCTGTTTCATGGACGATAGGTTCGTCCTGCTTCAGCTGTGGCATGGCACCTTGGGTTTGTGAGGTAGATTGTGCTGAAAAGTGTTTCTTGTAAATGCTATTCTTTTCTCCAGGAAGTTCTTCTCTCCTATTTTGATCTTGATCAACTTCTTTGGTAACTTTGGCACCAAAGTATTTATTGATGTGTCTTGCAAAATGGAGGTAGCCCTCCTCCCAGCTGCTGGAGATATTGTTAGTTTCCACTGTTGGCTGATGGGCACCTGATTTGATTTCAGACATTTCAGCTTCTTTAGAATTCATGATGTAAGTGTTTTGCATTTGTCTCTTCTTCAGCCTTCTGTTTTTCCCTCTTGAGGAAGACATGGTTTCCAAATTTTCCTGCATTTGAACTTTCGTAAAACTGCGAGAGAAGACTGAGTTAACGTGACCAGCAACGTAACTGTAGCTCTCTCCAAATCTTGTCGCCAAAGAACTGATGTGAAATAGTTGCAGTCCAAAGTTGTCTTGTTTTGAAGGACTTATTCCAGAGCTATTCTGTGTTTCTTTGCTTTTCAAGGTCTGTGTTGTGTCTTTGCCTGATTTATTTTGCTCTTTGACTGCAGTTTGACTCTGACTACGCCTCTGTGACCTTCCAAGCCATTCTGGAGTTGTGACAACAAGGCCGGCATTTACAGCTAGAGAAACATCCTTTCTCTGGAAATAAATATTAATGTGTCTGGACAATTTTTTAAATGATTCACCAAGACGTCCTCCCAGTGAACTCGAAAGGAAACCATTCTGAGCCTCCTCGTAAATCCCAATTGGAGCGTCAGGTTTGAATGTATTCCTATTGGAGGATGAGTAAAAACGCACTACCTGGAGATGATTCAGTTCTTTGGTATAATCTCTGAGGAAGTGGTTAGAAGCAGAGCCTGCAGCACTGTGGTTTAAATTGTTAAATATACCTTTTCTTGTAAATCTGGACAGATGAGGAGGTGATAGCAGGTAATATCTGTGGAGGTCCAGGCTGAGTGTTGCTTTAGTCAGACGAGGGTACTTTTTAAGAAGGCTCATTAGGTACCTAACTTTGCAGTATGATCTCAATGTCTTGTTCACCGAACTTGAACACAAGTTGGTGCTGAGGTAGCGACCCATGTTTGACCCGGAGTCCAAATGTCATGCTTGAGCTTGCATCGATTTTGGTCGGAGCAGCATTTTCAACAGGAATCTAAGGAAATAGAAGAAATCTGTGAGACTGTTAGCATGGTGATGCTAAATGCTAATATTAGCATGCTAACAAGGTCAGAAGGACAGTGTAGTTTGTTGATGTTTAGCAGTATAATATTTACCATGTTCAGAATCTTAGTTTTGTGTATAAGCATGTGAGCATGTGCTAACTACATAAAACAAAGTACAGTTGAGGCTAATGGTAATGAAATTTTTGGAGGTGTTTGGTCAAAAACGAATGTATTGGACGATTTGAAATTTTGACCTGGCGCCAGATGAAAGATCAGGGTATCAAAATGATTACAATTCATACTCAGGGAACATGAGAGCCTGTACCACATTTAATGGCAATCCATCCAGTAGTTGTAGAGACAATAACAATAAAGAATGACATCCCACTGGTGGCGTTAGGAGAAAAGTCAAGGGATCACCGAAGTCATTAGGATTCATCCTCTACAGAAAACTGGATTCAAATTATACTAACGTCGATCTTCAATTTATCCAAAACAAAAAAAGTACAAACTTTAGATACAAATAAAAGTGTCAAAGCCTCAATCAAAATCAATATCTCTTCTGTTCAGAGAGGGACATTGTCACTGTTAACAGATAGTGTGCAACGTGAGCTGATTGTGTACAAACATTATGTTCCACAACAACACGTCCACCTTTTCAAGAAATCTCAGAGCAAATATATCTGTGTACATGACCTTAATGCCGTCAATAGATCTGCTATTTCTGCAATGTTAGATAGAAATTTGAGAACCCAGAGATCTTTACAAGCATTCGAGCATTTTTCTACTATTCTATTATGTTAAATAAAATGCATTCATGAACACTTTCTGTGGTGCCTTCACAAAGAGAAAGGCAAACAGCTTGACTTTACAATAACCACAGATCTACAAAGGTTGTTTCCCTCTTGAGTGAGGGAAGGTCATGAACCAAAGTAGCTTATAGCTACTCCAACCTTGACAGGAAATGCCAGATAATAACATACACTAAGGATTTACCTCAAAGACAACACCTAGTTCTTCTGTCTTCACAATTCTTCAACCAAGTCTTTGTATTTTGAAATCCAGTACACCACTTTTAACAAACTGTCAGAGGTACTATTTCTTCAGTGTTTTGATACTTAATTCAACCTTTCTCTCATGCAGTACTTAACTCTTATTGGTTGAGCTGGGCTGAGGGGTGGACAAGCATAAACCAATGCTTTGTGAGCCCACACAGGCTTAAAGACATGTGTTGTCACTGCTGACTGCCAGACAGGAAGCTAAAATTGGAGAGGGGGAGACTATTCAAGGGTCTCAGTGAGCTGAAGTTAGCTGCTGCTTACGTCACAGTACAACACAAACACACCTTCCTCGAAAACAAAAAGGCTTCTAAGAAACTGAGCACAACATGTGATGAAAAACGATTACGTCTAATTAAGTTTGTCGTGCTTAATGAATACAATTAAATGCAGTAATGCTTAAGATTCAAGCCTACAAGTTATGTTGCTGTAGGGTATTTTTATTTACTAGTATATACTGAATAATTACAAGGTACAAATTGGTCCTTTTACAACAGCAATGTCATTAAAAAAATAATTTGATAACAAAATAAATAAACAGCCCAATCATGATCTGGCAAATAATCATGACTTCCATACAGCACAGTTCATGAGGAACAATTTCACTCAAGTGTGATTATTTTAAACTTACAAGGACATCTAGTGGCAGCTTCCTGACAGTTTGGTTCTCTATCTGCTTTTGAGTGAACTTAAATCTGCGATGCTGTGCAACACGATATTTGACTTTTTTTTGCATTTTGCTGACTGCATTTATGCAACAGGATATGTGACAGTGTTGTATACAGTACATCATTACTCTCTCTGTTTTGCAGCAAAGCTTTTTCTCTTCACTATCATGTTATGTCAATATTTAACTCAATATCCAAATTTTCTGTTGTCTGCTTATTCGTCTACTACCATTGTTCATGTTAGAAGAAACATGTCAGACTGACTTACACAGAGTTCTTGATGATGAGAATAATAATTTGAATTATTGATCACAAAACGGAGAAAAATGTGTTGATGTGCTGATTTTAAGATGTTTTTTGAAAAAGCATATGCTTTTTAGTCATATTTCTTTGGATGCTAATATTGTAATGGACTGAGTGACGTGTAATGTTAACCTGTTATGTTATAAGTGGTATTGTGTTTACAGGAAGAAGTTGTTCCAGAGTAATGGTTATTGCATTTACTGAGTTCAGGAGGTCAGCCAGGGTCTCATGACCTGTGAAATTGTTAACCCTGTCAATCATTCTAGCGACCTATGGGGGTGGGTGGCTCAATGGAGCGTACCTAGGATTGGCAGAGCGAGTGAGGTGGGATGTTGTTGTTGTCCTGCTAGCCTGTTGAGAGTTACTCTATGCCCGGGTGAGGATTGTCAAACCTGTTAAGAGAACATTTAGCGGTGTTGACTGTTGTTTTGGTGTAGGCTACGGCCCGCAGTAGCTTGTGTACTGTCCAATAATAAATCGAAACAAGCAAGATAACATAACATTATACATACATTTGTGATATTCTGGCCATTTCCAGTTGACTGGAGAACATTGTCTTTGCTTGTATCTTGCAATATCACGATCTCCACTATTCGCACAAAAATTTTTTTTTTTGGGTGGGCGGGTATTTCTAAGAAAGGAATATTCTAATAAGAGCCAAAGTGGTCAATTATTGCCTTGACTTCAAAGATTCTTTATAATACACAGTGAGTATTTCATAGTGGCCAGCAGAAGGCAGGGTGGCGCTTTGCTTCTCCCATGGACTCTCTTTGTGGACGGACTCTCGTTGTTTATTCATTTTGCAGAGCGAAGCTGCACCGAGCAGGGGGACCTGTCACCCGTCTCATTATTTCTCGCCTGTTTACAGGTTTGTGAAGTTTTAAAACTTTAAGAATTATGAACACGTGTTTGATTCAAGTTTAACTTGAACGTCTGATTGGTTTTGTAAGAGTAACGTCAATATGGTTTTGTGAAAGGTTTACTTTCACAAAACCATACTTAATTCAAACTTTCTCTCATGCAGTACTTAACTCTTATTGGTTGAGCTGGGCTGAGGGGTGGACAAGCATAAACAAATGCTTTGTGAGCCCACACAGGCTTAAAGTCATGTGTTGTCACTGCTGACTGCCAGACTGGAAGATAATATTAGAGAGGGGGAGACTATTCAAGGGTCTCAGTGAGCTGAAAATAGCTGCTGCTTACATCACAGTACAACACAAACACACCTTCCTCGAAAACAAAAAGGCTTCTTAGAAACCATGCAGGACATGTGATACAAAACAATTACGTCGAATTAAGTTTGTCGTGCTTAATAGATATAATGAATGCAGTCATGCTTAAGATTAGAGCCTACAAGTTATGTTGCTGTAGGGTATTTTTATTTAGAAGTATAGACTGAGTAACTACAAACGGGTCCTTTCACAGCAGCTACGTCATGAAATAAGCATCTAATTTAAACTGTAACTAACAATGTACAGTTAAAAGGGTGTGAACAATGTCACAGTGGAACATTATTTTACAGTCAAGCATTTATTCATAATCTAAAAAAATGTAACATATGAAACTATTTAGTATGATATCGTTGTCATTTTTTGTAAATATATCATAATTTTAAAACAATATACACTTTTATTTAATTTCGATTGTTCCTGCGTCATTACTCAGTAAAACCATAACTACCCTGCAATTATCAGAAACGTTCTCAGAATTAAATAAAACAACAACACTTGTCATTTATTTCTGCATCAGTCTTAAACACAAAGTGCACCAACCGTCCCTTACTCGCTCACCTTTTGTCGTAGCCAATAAATGATTATTAAGTAATTTGCAAACTGTAATCTAAAGAAAAGAAAACCAAAATACGAGAAGTGTGTAAATCAAAAATGTGTTTGCCTTGTGTCACAGAGTATGTTCTGTCAACATTGCTGTCCTACAGTCACAACTGACAGAACCTTTGACAAGCACACGCTGTTCTGCATTGCAATCGTTACGAGAGGCTCTGTCCACCAGCACACACACATCACTAACAAGGAGTGGTTTGAATTACAAATAGCATGCCAATTCACTCACTTGTTTCCTTGTATGTCAGAAACGCTAGATAATGATTTCACCCATTTTGTTCTGCTGATATCTGTTAAAAGGCACCTTCAAATGAACTGGTCAATCATTATCTGGCAAATAATCAAGACTGCCATACAGCACAGTTCATGAGGAACAATTTCACTCAAAGGTGATTATTTTAGACTTACACTGACATCTAGTGGCAGCTTCCTGACAGTTTAGTTCTCTTTCTGGTTTTGAATGCTGTGCAACATTTCTACCACGGTTTTCTCTATTCTGTATATGTGTCATGGTACGACAGTGTTGTACATTGTACACCATTACCCTCAGTCGTTTGCAGTAAAGCTTTTTCTCCGCATCGTCATGTTTGTCCAGAACTCAAGAGACTCCAGAAGATGGTGATGTTAATGATTATATGTTTTTTTCTATAATACATACATTTTTGATAACCTTCCCATTTCCAATAGACTGGAAAACCTCAACATCCCTATTACTCTCTATTACTCTCACTTTAATTTTTTGGATAAATTTTACTTACTGTTTTCTTTACTTTGACTTAAGCATGTTTAATCAAACTCACGGTCTTACAAGTAAAGACATGTTGCATCAAATGATGGCCTCGAAATATGCATATTTAATAAGGCTGCCAATATTTCCCTTCAGCTAAGAACAACCTTTAAACCTTTGCAGACAGGTTCATAATATATTGAGGGTTAACCGGACAGACCACATGGTATTTATCCAGTTCTTCTTAACGTTCAATTAACTTAAAACATATTACAACTCTGAACAGAATGAGTGGGTTAAAGATAATGACTGAATGGATATGACACAATTAAACATAGTTTATTTTTTCTGTGGTCTCGAATCAATGTGTTTTCTTTTCACAGTGTCCTTTGGTGCACTCTTCCCCACGCCCCGTCCACTTTAAGCGATTCCTGGCAAAGATGGCATAGGACTTGTCCATGAATGGTCTCACAGGTGACCACATCATGAGGCTTCCCAAGCAGCCAAGGCCAACTGCACTGTACATGACTGCAAAAGCTGGTATCCCACGATGAACCTGCATATAAACCTGACGTTAGACAACTGGCATAATACTATATATTTAAAAATACATGTAGGCTAATCAACAAAAATCTTCCAAAATGTCAACCTGACACGCAGAATATTACATTCCCAGTAAAGCTGGCAAAATGTAAGTTTACCTCGTCTTTCTCATCAATCACATGCATTTCCTCCATGGCCATCCTGTAGCTGACATCCTTGTATTTCTCTCCATCGTAGCCTGGCAGGGCAATGTCAATAAAATCTACCTTCCCACGCGGGCTCCTCTGCAAGAACGGGAGGAACTGGATCTCCGTCACACATATAAGACAACGCCCATCAGCACCTGAAACAGAGCAGGACATGAACTCTTTGGTAACTTGCATATTCATGAAAGTGGGATACTAAGTGTTTGAAGCAGATTCGTTGTGTAAACTGTACACCCGTAGAGCTCAACAAAAATATTACAATATATATATATACTTATATTAGATATTAAACATAATGTATTTGGTTTTGTATTACACTAATCAAATTCATTTTTTTATGAATTAAAAAAAAAAAAACAAGAAAGACGTATGACTAAAATAAATTGTATTTCATAAGGGGTTACCTGCAACAGTAACGTTACTAGAAAGACAACTGCAAATAATCTGAACTATATCCACCAGGAAAACATATGGAAACATAGATGGAAACTAAGGACAACCATAATAACTAATAACGCAGTCAGTGAAAAAGTATGACCTGAAAACGAAAGATAAGTCAAAATTAAATGAAATGGTCATTTAAGGCTTTGGATTTAGTATATTAAGTTGCATATCTCAAGCTGCATTATACTATACTGTAATCTTTTTTTCCGAATAACGTCACCTGACATTTAGAGCCAGGTTCAGGATATCTGACGACCCCTAACGTAGCTCACAAGATATTTTCAGTCTCCATTATAGCATCACGGGACAGGACACGAGGCTGCTCGGTCCCACTCACTCCTGGTGTCAAGATTCAGAGACGTTAAGGTGACGAGCTTCAGATACTGACGTGATGTTTGTTTAAAAGTTATGTTAAATGGGAAAAAAAAAAAAAACTTGTTGTTTATCCTCTGGCCTCCACTGTTCTCCAGTGTTGGTCGGGACTCGACTGCAATCCAGCTACGAGTTAGCTCCTAACTTTATGAAAATTGTTACACATTGAACTTTGAGGAAATATCGCTTTCAAAATTAACGTGATTTTCACGCGGTGTGTTTAGAGTTTTTACTCGGAGACAGACGTACCACTCCGTTTTCCTTTTGCTATGTCAAAAAAGAAAAGAAAATGCCAATGCACTCACTTTTTATTTTATCTTTCTTATATTCTGCTATCAAGGCGGCAGAGTGGTGGACTTTCTTTAAGCAAGCATCTTTGACCGAAAGTGGTGCAAGTCTAAGGTACAAACACTTGGCAGGGAAAGTCTTTGTCTGTCAAAGCACTTTGTAATCTCTGTTTTTAAAGGTGCTATATAAATAAAGTTATTATTATTATTATAAAGTTCACCATTCAACTGTCGCATCAGTTTTGTCCAATTTACGTTAATTGGCTCCGTCCCAGCGCTGATTGAAAAACTGAACATTATGCATAAAAGCAAACATTGTGTTGCAATTATTCTGCAGTTTACAAAGGAAAATATCATAAAAATGACTATGAAGAAGTTTAGATAAGATAAGTTAATCATTTATTATTATTTATAACAGCAGCATAGTGCATAGTGCAAACAAGAGACATAGTAAAACAAGATCAAAACAAGTATTATATATAAGTAATACACAGTAAGAAATATTAACTAAGGAAAAAAGTCAAAATCCACAATAACTAAAATACGTTGTTGGTTTTATTGGGCTCCTTCACCAGCATATGCACCTATATGTACAGTATTATACTGTAGTACCACACAGAGAAGTTTACCTTGACACCCACAGACTCCGAGCTGAAGGTCCGATGCTGGTGATGTCTGCAGAGGGCAGGAGCCACTCTAATAGCCGCCTTTGAGTTGGACGTCAACGTTACACAACCGGGCAATCTGGTCAAACCCGAGACTAAACATACTCTCATTTGGGACAACATCTCCAAACATATACACTGGACCAACCACAGCGGCAAAGTTACAGATTAAACAGGCAGATAACTGGCTACACAGATTACTGCACTGACGTTAGCAGCCAACAAGGCATGCGTTGCACAAGCGGTTGAGTAGCACAAACAGAGGTCACTGGTGTTCAACGCAAACGCTCGACAGAAAACATCTGAAACTGTCTCGCGTTCGCTTATTTAGTAAAATAAAGTAACATTCATTTAAACTGTATCAATGAATTAGTCGCAGCAGCAGCAGCAGCTGACCGGGAGAGCGTGACGGAGGGAGGCGTGGTGACTGTGTCGCTCCAGAGTAGTGATATTCTTGCGAGAGGTCCCACTCTGTTGTTTTTTTAAACAAGCCAAATGTCAGCGGAATTAAGGGGAACGCTCGTTTTTAAAGATAACCCATTTCTCATAGGGGATATCTTTTATTGGTCTTTTGGGGATAGATACATTGTTTGTAAGTTTAATGGTTTAGTGTTATTTGAGAATGTATTCATTTACTAAAGATTTCTCAGTGCTCTTCATAATTATTTCTCAATAGCTGAAACAAATTACTGGGGTATTCTGGTTATATTCTAAGCTAATATCTCCTCGTCATTTTAGTTAAGATAAAAGACAGCTTATTTTGTTGGCATTCAACAGCCACAAGTCCCGCAAGGCTTCGACGGAACATCTGTGGCTGAGACTCAAGCGACTCATGTTCTTGTTGAATGCAAACAAAATAAATGTTGTCTCCAGGAGGGCTGTTGCTCTATATGGTCACTTGTGTTTGGCATGCAAGCACACGTGATGAGATCAAAGGCCTTAATTAAAGCAGGGTCCTCCTGTTGTGAGGCAGCCACAGCCTCTTACAACAAGGTTCATAGCGTGACCATTACGGTTTCAGGGATCGTGCAGAGGTGAGCTCTTGTGATTAAGGTCTGCAGCATGTAAGAATTACCACAGCTTTGAAAATGTGCACTTTTTTGTTTTTTTTAACTCTGCTTACTTCTTTTATCTGTTCTTACTTTCAGCCGGTGGATCGAACATGCCCCCTGCAGCAGCAACCAAAGTAGGCCACACACCACCAGATGGAGGCTGGGGCTGGGCTGTTGTCTTTGGCTCTTTCATCTCCATAGGATTCTCCTATGCCTTTCCCAAGTCCCTCACCATCTACTTTAAGGAGATTCAGGAATATTTTTCCGTCTCCTACAGCGAGATTGCCTGGCTGTCCTCAGTCATGCTCGCTTCTATGTATGCTGGAGGTCAGTGGCAATCATACATTTTCATGTTTCCCCATCTACATTCTGGATGAGCAAAGTTATTCTGTCATACATTTGTTGTCCTTTTTATTTAACCAAAAACAGCTGTAAACCTTCAGTGAAAGAAGGTACCAAGAAAATGAGATATGTCTCTTCTCTGTGCAGGACCTGTGAGCAGCGTACTGGTCAACCGCTTTGGCAGCAGACCTGTGGTCATGGTCGGTGGGCTCATGGTCAGCGCTGGCATGGTGCTTGCTTCTTTTGGCCAGACTATCATGCATCTGTATTTGTGCGTTGGAGTTATTGGTGGTAAATACCATTTAAGTTTTTTTAATAATAATCACAATAGATGAGCAAGTGTTTGCTAGTAGTTTGCTTAAGCTTATGTTTAAGTTTGCTGCTGTTCTTTGTAACGTTTGCTTTATGTTGCCTGGTTGTGACCAGCTGACAAAGGGAGGATGAAGGACTTTTTTGATCATCAGTCAGTCCACTAGTGATGTTTGTGCCTACAGCTATTGTAACGGGTCTGTGGGGGGTTAACTTCCACCTTCTGTGCAATGTGTAAACATTTTTCTAAAAAAATCCCCACATGCTTGCATGTACGCCAGAACACACGATCATACTAATACCACCAAGTAAACAAAGACTTAAAACTTAAATCTCGTGCAGGCGCTTCACCTACTGAGGCACAGAAAATAACTCTACAGACGTGAAGTGGCCGATTTTCTCTTGGAATTAGAAAGTATTCGACCCCTATGGCCATAAAATGAAACGTGTCAAAAATAGTAATTAGGGCTGAAACAAACAATTATTTTCATTACCGATTCATCTGCAGATAACTTTTTTTGATTTGTCAAATCAATTCATTGTTGTATAATTATATTATCATTTTTATGGTGTAGTTTTCTAAGTTTTTATTTAAAATCAAAATCAGAATTAATCCCTGGACAACGTGTGACACTGAATATTAATATTTGAATAGGCTTAAGTTATTATTTGGTATTTTTTCAACAGGTTTTGGACTCGCCCTCAACCTACAGCCGGCCCTGACGATCATAGGGACCTACTTTAAGGTGAAAAGGCCGATGGCGAACGGGCTCGCCATGGCAGGAAGTCCAGTTATTCTATTCACTCTGGCTCCTCTCAATCAGTTTCTGTTTGATTCTTTTGGCTGGAGAGGGAGCTTCCTCATCCTGGGATCCATCGTTTTGAACTGCTGTGTAGCTGGCGCTTTGATGAGACCAGTCAATAAAAATACCCAACCAAAGACTGAACCACCAGAGCGTAACAAGGCATCTGCTGTGGAAGCTGCTGCTTCAGACACCAGTGAGCAGTCTGCTGACCTCCTGACTGGAGAAAACCAAGATGTGAGCAAGAGGCAGGGCTGTTTGCACACGTTCATAGATCTCTCACTTTTCAAACACCGGGGCTTCCTCATTTATCTCATCGGTAATGTGGTCATGTTTTTTGGGTTTTTCGCGCCTGTGGTTTTTATGGCTCCGTATGCAAAACATCAAGGGATTGATGAATATTCAGCAGCTTTCTTGCTCTCTATTTTTGCTCTGGTGGACATGTTTGTGAGACCATTAACTGGCTTCATTGGCAACAGCAAGTGGATTCGGCCACGGATCCAATACTTTTTCAGTTTTGCAGTTTCATTCAATGGTGTGTGCCACCTTCTATGCCCACTGTTACCTGGATATGAGGGTCTGGTTGTGTATGCGATCATCTTTGGTTTGGCATTTGGGATGGTTTGTGCACTGCTTTTTGAAGTTCTGATGGACCTTGTTGGAGCTCATCGCTTCTCCAGTGCAGTTGGACTTGTCACCATTATTGAGTGTGGACCGGTGCTTCTTGGACCTCCACTTTCAGGTTTGTGTACTTATGAGACATTGATTTTTTTTTTTTTAATTTCAGATTATAAGTCCATAAACAAAATGTGGGAATTGATATGGTGACCAATGAAGTGTGCATCTTCTCTTTCAGGAGCTCTGGTTGATATTTACGGGGAGTATAAATCCATGTACTATGCGTGCGGACTGTTTATGCTGGTGCCTGGCATATATTTCTTCATCATGCATTACTTCAACTACAAGAAACTGGACGAGGAGCAGAGGAAGAGTGTGGCTGTGGGGTTGAGGACTTGTGAAGAGGCAGTAAAACTTAAAACGGGCCACGATGGTAATACAGCACATGAAACAGATGGATGAACATGCTGAGTATGATTTTATTTTCATGGATAGACAGACGACACTGCACAGGCTTTAATTCAATTCAATTCAATTCATTTGTAGAGCCCAAAATCACAAATTTGCCTCAGAGGGCTTTACAACATCCTCTGTAACAGGACCCTCGCATCGGAACAGGAACCCCCCCCCCCCTCAACCAAAAAAAAAATTACACGGGGGAAAAAAAGGGAGAAACTTTAGGGAGAGCAACAGAGAAGGGATCCCTCTGCGAGGATGACCTGAAGTGCAGTAGATGTCATGTGTACAGAATGAACAACATAATAGAACTACAACACAGTCAATGCATATGACATAAATGATTTATATGAGTAGTAAGCAGAATAATGATAATTACTACTAATAATAACAGCAGCAGTAATAGAAGCAAAATAACGATAGTCATAATAAAAGCATTAATGGTAGCAGTAACAATAGAAATGTGACAATAACAATAACAATAGAAATGTGACTAATAATAACAATAATATTAGTAGCAGTAGGTGTCAGGCAGGGCCAAGACAGGAGGCACGGCCTCGGTCCATGTGTAACAACAATCCATGGAAACCTGCGAGGCGATAAAGCACAAAGACTGTATTTTAAAAATAATAAAATATTATTACATCATGTGTCAACTGTTACTCTACTCTTCTTTCATACATTATCCAGAAATGCTGCAGTTCCTTGCAGTTTCCAATGCATTTATCATAATGACTATCATTTAATATGGGTCCTCTTTGTTTCTCTAGTGGCTGAATTAATAAGTAATTTTCCTGAGGGACTGATGCAATAAAATTAATGAAATCCCAGCAACACAGTCATTCTACTCCTGTTTACTGCCATCTTCTTACCACTAGATGGCACTGGACTCTACCATGTGATACCTCAAGGTGCAACACATCTCCCCTATTAAACTGCAATTAATCTAAAGGCATCTTAATTTGGTGGTTTGGTTCTTTACAGCACCGTTTTCTGAAGTCTGGGTTGTGACCCACCCAAGGCCTGGCAAATATTAGGAATGTGTTGCCAAGGGCGAAGCAATTAGAATATGAGAGAATTAAATGTCTGTCTCCACACCACACCTTAAAATACCTTTCCTGAAATCCCCTCCTGCTGTCTTTAAGTTTAACTCCAACTCTTCCCGAAAAAAAAAATCTTTATTCACTCTTCAAGTTTTAGTCTACAGTAAAATACATTTTCAATACCATGGGGATCTGTACTGCGGCTTCACTTTAGTACAGTCATAAAAATTCAGTATGAGGTTATGGAAATGTTTCAGCGTCAAACTTTTAAATAAGTCTTTGGAAACCTATGTGCATTTAATAAAAAACCTGCATTTGCATGTGTAGGTGAAGAAGTGAAATGTTTTACTTAACCTCTGTGACATTAAAAGTATTGTGCAATACCCGCACATTTATCATACTGTAGCTACAGGCCAGGCCTTGACACATTTCAGTATTTCACAGCTGCTGTTCTCAGTTGTTTCTCAGCTGATACACATTTATCTTATATGTTGTGAAGAACCTAACGATACATGATCGAGGATTCTCCCTTATCCAACAACCGCACAGGGAAAGTATCTGATAGACAGAATTTGCATCCTTTGCCGGCTCCCATCAACACATTACAGGTCAGACTTTATATTCTGACATACTGCTTTAGCCTATTCCAGCCTCTTCGTGCCACACCTTGAGCACCTGCAGTACAAAGATACACAGTGGAACCATTGAGGGGAAACACGATGCCATTATTAGAGATGTATGCTTAAATGATCCATCGTCATCACGTCCCTGCAAGGTGCATATTGATTTCCTTTTTCAGATGGATGAAAATTGCTTAAGTAAGGGAATCAATACATTTATTTATAACCTAAGTTAACATTATCTGAAAATCAGATAAACAGTGTGAGTCCATGTCTAATGTGTGGGTATAGTCTTCTCTTTGGATGCTGATTTCATTTCAATAAAATAAGTGGTGTTACACACAAAAAGCTTAAGTTTTGCCACAAAAGTATATTTAGTTGTGCTCTATTACAAGTAATAGTTCTGCAATCAAAATGTTACTCCAGTAAAAGTACATACGTATAATCAGTAGTCATTGCAATCAAACAATATTTTAGTGTAGTGAAGCATGATAACATTATTTAAATCTGTCTTTTGACAAATATAGTTACAAACGTGGTTATGCAGATGTGACACATTTTTCATCGATTCCAATATTGGAAAAAAATGATGAGTGGACACAAAGTGAGATCTCCAATTAGTGGCAGTTCCCATAAACTCTGTATCATCTCTTTACTGAACAGCTTGAGCATAATCACTGTGATAAACTGTGACTGATGTCAGTAAATCTGACTTTAATTGGGACCAAGATGATTAAATCCAGGCAGCGCTGCATCCAATCCCTGTGATGACTGCTACCATGCTGAGACGTAATGTTTTAACCATGCCGCTGGTTCGAGCAGTTGATCGCAAAGTTCTGTTTTAACCACACAGTTGGGATATCTGTAAAGAGGGGAGTGATACTGTCATTTTAATCCAGCATGTTTGTTAATAATCTCTGCTAATCTTCTTTACCCACAGCAGCAGCACTAATCTGTCTTCACAATGTTTGCACTCAGAGGGAAGGCAACGTCATGAAAACACCAGAGACTTAAGAGTCTATTCATCAGTCCTGTGGACGGAGCTATTAATGACACATCGCTGGTCTAAAATAAACATGGATAGCCAGGGCAGCTGACATGGATACACATGTTGACAGAGGAGCGATTACCATGTCAGTCTATCCAAGGAGCTCTCAAGGACTCAATCACACCTTCCGGAGACTAGAGACACCATGTTTTGCAGTGTGCCTTAACTGACTGTCGGCCCTGATGAAGCACAAGATTTACTGAGATCATTTGGTGACAACGAGGCACAGAGAACCCTACTCTCAAAATCAATCCTCTTTGCAAACAGCTACCGTAACAATGATCGTGGTCGCCTTGATATTTATGTGGTGTAAAATCGTCCGTATTTATCAGATATTTTTGAAAAATAGATTATCTCTTGCACATGCAGTCAACATCTGAATGTGTAGAGGGAAAAAACAGAGGAAGTCTAGATTTTGTTTCAGAGCCTGAATCAGATGAGAGATTTCTGAAACGCCCAGATAGCTGATTATACTTGTTAATGTTCACCTTGAAAGAACAATTGTAAACACAGGCTTTGTTCTACAGTGGTGGTTACTACCTATGTAGATATACTCAAGTAACTGTTCTCAGATACAGTTTTTGAGGTACAGGATCTAATTTGCTGCTAATTTATACTTCTACTCCATTCAAATTCAGAGGGAATGTACTTTTTACTTTATTTATCGAGCAGCTGTATAAGCTTATGAAATCCATTATTAAAGACTAAAGAGCAAATCGAGAAATTATAGAAGCTGAAAGTTTTGATTATTGATTAATTATTAGATCAATCAACTTATTGGTTCCGCCCAGAATTAAATTACCCACGATTATATTTATTGTTATAGTATACTTAGCTCCACCTCAACCATCGGCAATATTACAATGATGCTTAACATGTTAATGGATCTATAATGATAAACAATGATATAATAATATAACATTGTAAAGTGGCCATGTCTGCATTATGATCTATTGGCTAAAGTTGAATATCATTTTAATAAGTATGTTTTCTTTAATATATAAATACATGAAAATAATAATAATTGTGTTTTTATTAAATTTGAATGAGCCATTCTTAAAAGGATTTAGGGGGATTTATTGGCATAAGGGAGAAGTTTCCAGAAGTCGGTTCAACAGTGAGTGACCTAATTTCACTTGATACATTTTTATTCTAAAATATGGATTATAGCTTTAAGTAAAGGATCTGAACACCTCTAACACCACTGGTGTATTGTACTGAGAATCAATATGAAGTTTAAAACACGCCAAAACCATAATGGAAACGTGAATCTCAATAATCGTTGGATAAATAGCATTTTTGAATGTTGATGTCTTTACCAGACCAAGACGGTTTGATATTACAGACAAACTGTGCCGTTACTGCTGCTGGACATTAGGAATCCTCGTGGAATACAAATTGGACAAAACAGGCCCTTATGAAGACGGACATTTTTTGAACTCAAACAAAAGAGGAACTTAAAACCCTAAACTACTCAATCATGACTAATGCTTGTAAAAGAAATTGAGTCGCAAAGCAAAAGGACTTAATGAGATTATGTTACCCATAATTAACAATCTGTGGAACACATTTCCCAAAACCGAGAACACTACGGCTCCTTTGTCCCTCGTTGAGCCTATGAATGTGTGAATTATCATCCGAACACACATTTACCCCACTTTTCAGAGTTGACAATGCAGAACCCCTGACCAATATCCTTAATCTGCCACTCAAAATACATTTAGCCTTTGTGAGAACAAATATGCGCCGCGGAAACACTGGTTGTGGAGACTCTCTGCTGCTTATTAGAACCATTCTTCCTCTTTATCTGGTGAACACAGACAACCCACGAAAGCTTGCATGGCTGGGGACGGTGGTGCTGTTTGCATGCATATTACAGGGAAGAATATGAGGATTGTCCTGTGTATTATAATCTATCCTTTGAATACCACACTGAATTGCATGCTACATGCTACACAATTTTGATTGAAGAGCTAAAGGACTAGATGACATAAACTATCCGCAGGCACTTCACTATTTACACATTGTGCACACACGCAGTCTCTAATGCAATCTGTGGCATGTGGATGATAAAAAAGTAAGTGGCTTCTGTTTTCAGTCTATCAGGGCAGCACACTTGAGTGACCAATTCGACCTGAGATAACATTGTAAGATTTCATTTAATTCCTCAGGCTTGATTTGGAAAACAGTATTGAATCTAAGATTGTTCCCAATCCCCACATGCAGACGCCTGAGATAGGCATTCAGCGTCATGTCCTCGGGGATCGACACCCAGGCCTCGGCTGAGACTGAGAGCATGACAGAGAGACTGGGCACAGAAAAGAGAGAGGAGCAGAAATAATTATAACAGCAACTGAGGCGTATCGGCTTGTCCTTGCCTCGGAATGAAAAGCAGGATGAAACATGATGGCGCAAATCAACCGC